TCTGTATCACTAATTCTCTTTTCTGCCTCATTCATCCTAGCAGTTAGAGCCTCCATTTTTGATTGCACCTCATTAATAGCCTTTTTGATTTCGACTTGGTTAGATTTTAGTTCTTTTATTTCTCCAGAAAGTGATTCTCTAGTATCTTCCACGGTTTTTTCAAGCCCAGCTAGTATCTTTATAATCGTCATTCTGAACTCTAGTTTGGACATCTTCCTAATGTCAGTATTGATTAGGTCCCTGGCAGTTGGTACTGCCTCTTGTTCCTTTTTTTTGAGGTGTTTTCCATCTTGTCATTTTGTCCAGAGGGGAACAGACGAATGAGAGAACGAAATGCTAACAGGGTAACAGTGACCCCAGAAAAATGTACACTAAACAAATCAGAAGAGACCCGAAACTGGGGGGAAAAGAAAGGGAAAGAAAAAAAAAAAGAATATGATCAGGCTGGTGAATACACAGAACCACACAGTAGATTTTGGGCATATTTTGGTTTGTTAGAAGAAACTGCCTCTCAATATTTTAAAGAAGATAAACTTATATATACAAAAATAAGGGTAAATACGATGAAGGGATGGAATATGACTGTAAAGATGAAAATTATAAAAGATTGTATAAAAGGAATTGATAAGTTGGTTGAAAAAAGAAGAAAAATTAAAAAAAAAAAGGGAGAGATTGTGATCAGGCAGGAGACTAGAACAAAGCCATGCACTAGAGATATAGGGTATATTTTGGTCTGTTAGAAGAAACTGTATCCCAAAATTTTAAGGAGAGAACCACTTATATATACACAAAAAAATAAGGTTAACTACAATGAAGGGATAAAATATGACTCTAAACCTTAAAATTAAAAAAGATTTTAAGGAATTGATAAGATGTTGGTTCCAAAAGGGAGAAAGAAATATTTAAAAAAATAGGAAAAGGAAAAAAGAAAGTTAAAAAAATTAACTTGGAAAGACTAAAGAATCATGGGGAAGAAAGTGATGAATTTATGTGCAGTATTCCCCTAGCCCTGGAGTTCTGCGGTTCTCATTGACGGTTAAGCTTGGTCTTGGCTGTTGTTCTTGCTGATCTTCTGGGGGAGGGGCCTGTTGCGTGGTTCCCAAATGTTTTTTGCCGTAGGCGGAATTTTCCGCCCTTGCCTGGTCGGCGAAGTAATCTGCTGGGGTTTGCTCTCGGGAGCTTTTTGTTCCCTGCAAGCTTTCGGTACAGCTTTGGAGGACGAGAGTGAAATGGCGGCCTCCTAATCTCCCCCCGGAGGAGCCGGGAGCTCTGCGCCCCACTCCTCAGTGAGCCCCCAGAGAAAAGCAGTCAATCACTCTGCTCTCCCTGGCCTCCGGCCACACTCGGTGCTCACCTGGCCTGTGACCAAGCGTTTCTACCTCTGGCACCCGACACCGTGTGGCGTCTGCAAACCCAGCAGATCCCTGCGCTGTGCTCCCGCGCCGCTCCTCCTGGGGGAGGAAGGGGAGTCTCCCCGGATCTGCTGCTTGTTGGGTCACGGTTTATGGCCACCCTGAGCTGAGAGCCCGCGCCTCGGCTCCGTCTCTGCAGCTGGCTTCCCCGCTCCGATCCCTGGGAGCTCTGCCGCACTCAGTCACCCGTGTCTTTCTGTGACCCCAAGGGTCCTGAGACCACACTCTCCCGCGAGGGTTCCACCTCCCGCTTAGCCACTGGAGCGACATCCCTCCGCGGAGCCGACTTCTAAAAGGTCCGATTTTGTGCTCCGCGGCTCTATCCCTTGCCAGAAGCGGTCGTCGTAGGCCCCCTCCCCTGCCCTTTGTCCTCCCGAATATCGCCTCGGATTCACTTCTCCGCACGTCCCACCTTCCAGAAAGTGGTCGCTTTTCTGTCATAGAGTTGCTGCTATTTTCTTCAATCTACTGTTGAGTTCCTGGGTGTTCAGAATGCTTTGATCCCCATCCAGCTGAATTCCTGCGACCAGACGAAATTTAGGTCGTCTACTCCTCCGCCATCTTGCTCAATATTTCCTTTAATTCCTTTTAAAAATTTAATTCCTTTTAATTACCATTTTAATTCCTTTAATGATTTCCTCACTTGATGTCTTTTGAGTGTTTTAGTGGTTTCCTTAGTTCCTTTAAGCGCTTCCCATACTGACTGTATCAGTATTTCCTTTAGGTAATCGTTAGGCTTTATTAACATTTTTCCTCTGGAAAGTGTGAGTATTATGATTATAAGTGCAGTCGATCAAAACAATATAAATATACATTTGAAAAACTAAACATAAAAATTTCTGTTGGAAATACTTTTTTTTTTTTTTTTAAGATTTTATTTGAGAGAGAGCACAAGTGGAGGTCGGGGGAAAGGGCAGAGGGAGAAGGAGAAGCAGGGATCCTGATGTGGGGCTCAATCCCAGGACCCGAGGATCATGACCTGTGCCAAAGGTAGACACTTAACCGAATGAGCTCCCCAGGTGTCCTGGAAATACATTTCTTAATGATGTGGGTAGATGGTTTTCCCGCTCTTCCCTGACTAGTTCATGTGTCCATAAATGAATATACTTACAACTAGTATTTGATAGGGCTCATCATAAATTTCATTCTAAATTTTTAAAATAGTTATAGGCTTGAGTCATAAATAAGTAGATGAGAATCGAAGGGCTTTTGTAGTAGCAACATCACTTAGTTCTTTGACTTTGAGTGTCATGCCAAAGATATGTATAGATAAGGAAAGACTAACAAACTTACTGCTGGTGCTTCCTGGAGATTTTTATACCCTAGGCAGTGCACAAAGGAGGATTCAGGAAGGGCAAAGATCGGCCCATTTGGCGAAGTGGGAGGACGGAGATTGTACAAGGTAATATGTGAGAGGAGTTCCAACATGGTGCCACGGTTAAGTGCTCTTCTCAGGAAGGTCAGTTTTAGAACAATGTATTTGTGGATTGAGGATCTGAATGTGTTTACCTTAAAAGCACCCATGCCGCTGTACTCTTCAGAAAGTTTGTAGGATTACACAAACAGCATGAAGAAAGCCTTTTAAAGTAGTGGCCTCCAATGATAAAATGTGAGCCAGTCTAAATATCAAAACATTCAGCGTTAAGTTTGTAGACAAAGAATTACGATGTTGCTATTCACTGTTGTGTGCAGAAAGTACCTTACATATAAACTGGCATTTAATAAATATTTGTTATTTTAATTTATAAAGTACATGGTCAAAAAGAAGTATGTTAAGAAATACACTTAATTATTCTATTAACTATATTTACATCCATTCTCTCTTCCTTTTGTTGTAGTCTGGTTTCCTTACCACGCCATTGAAATTGTTCTCAGTTGGATCACCAGTATCCTAAATATCAGAAAATCGGGTGGACACTTAAAAACTTTGGCCTCTTCTTGCCTTTTGATGCACTGCACCACTTTTTAAAATTGTCTTTCCATGATTTGGGGGGATGTAAGGCTTTTTTGATTTTCCTTCTATCTCTCTGTTTGCTTTTTTCTAGTTTACTTGCAGGTTCCTCAAGTGGGGCTCCATGCCCGGTAGGGAGCCTGATGTAGGGCTGAATCTCACGACCCTGAGATCATGACTTGAGCCGAAATCAAGAGTTGGACGCCCAACTCTCTGAGCCACAGAGGCGCCCCCAATTCTTAATTCTTTTTTTTTTAAGTTGTATTTCTTTCTTTCTTTTTTTTTTTTTTAAGATTTTATTTATTTGACAGAGAGAGACAGCGAGAGCAGGAACACAAGCAGGGGGAGTGGGAGAGGGAGAAGCAGGCTTCCCGCGGAGCAGGGAGCCCGATGTGGGACTCGGTCCCAGGAACCTGGGATCATGACCTGAGCCGAAGGCAGACGCCCAACGACTGAGCCACCCAGGCGCCTGCCCAATTCTTAATTCTTAAATATTGTAGTTTATCAGGACTCAGTCCTAGGCCTCTTGTCATTTAACTTTGCATAAGTTCCCAAAGACTGTTTCTCCTCACCCTAGGGCTTCATTGACATTCTGGATTCATAATGCCCTTCTGTGTCTTCAGCCCAGATGGCTCTCCTGACATCTAGACCAGAATATCCGGCTGCCTCCTGGACATCTCACCTAGATGCCTGCTCACATATACTCTTTGGAACTCAGCTCCTGAGCTTCCCCTAACCTGCCTCTCCAGGTTTTTTTTTCTCAGTAAATGGCACTGCCAGCTAACCAGCTGCCCAGGTCCCTAACCCAGAAGTCATTCTTCATTCCTTCTTTATTTCTCATGATGCCAATTCTACTTCCTAATATTCTACAAAAATCTGCCCACTTCTGACTGTCCTCAGTGTCACTGTCCTCGCCAAACCAATCTCCCTAGCTTCTCTTACTCCGAATGACCTTTTTGCCTGAATTTTGCTTTCCTCCAATACATGCTTGGCTTGGTAGTGAAACTGTTTCCCCTCCAGTTCTGATTTCATCATGGTGCCCTTGCTTAAAACCTTTCAGGGGCTTCACTTTGCTTTTGAGATAAAAGTCTGACTCTTTAACATGAATTACAAGGCTGTTTGGATTTCACTCTCCCTTATCTGTGTGCTTTATCTCTGGCTCATCACCCTAGCACACTACACTAGAGCCTAAAGCAGCTTTTCCTTTTCATAAAGTTTTGCATCTCAAATATGTGGGCTTGCACTCTCTGACCTCTGGTTTCTTTGATTCCTTCCATACACTGTTGTCTCTTTGTGGACCACTTTGCTTGATTAACTCCTTAGCCTCTGGTCTCACTTTTTAAATAGCTCTTCCTCAGGTGGCCTGTCTTGGATCTCTGGGTTAGGTTCTATTACATGCTCAAAGAGTATAGTATATTTCCTCTTTCATGTACCTCATCACACCTTAATTATGTGTGTCTTTCATGGTAAGCTATTTTGTAAACTTCGTGAGGATGGGGAGTCTTTATCTTGGACTCTGCTTTCCTTATTCCTAGTGTCTGACACACATATGAGCATATTCAGCATCTTTGAATAAATTAAACAATTTTGAGTTCTTGTTCCTGTGATTTCAAAATACACTTGGTTTTTCTCTTTAGTGTCTCAATGAGATCCTGGAGTCGGCAGATGCGCCTTTAGAAGTCACTGAAGGATTCATACAGTCAATTTCTCTGTCAGTTCCATGGGGCTCCTTGCTACAGGAGAATTGTGCACTGGAAGTGAAAGGGCTAGAAATGGTCTTCCGGCCTAGACCCCGCCTAGGTAGGTGTGTTACGTGTTTCTGTTTTTTTTGTTTCTGTTTGTATTCTTCACAGATTGGGAAGGTAACCTAATTGTATTAAATTCAGTATTTAATTACTTAGCATTGTGAGATTTTCAGTAGATAAAATATTAGGTCTTGGGGGTGATTTTTTACCTTTAGAGTTACTTCTTGCCCTATTTATCCATGGGAACTTTAGTATACTGATGATTTGGTTTAATTATTTGTTACTGATTATGTAAAGTGACTTGTATTTTAAAGTTTCAAAGTATTGTGCCAGAAACCAAGGAAGTGCTTAATGATTGATGGAGAAGTGTTAAAAGGACAGAGGACTGGGCTTGTAGGTGTTCTCATTGGCCAAATCTGGGAATAATGACAATAAATGGATTATAACACTTGGAATTAAAAACAATTCTAAGTCCATACTGTTAAAAATAAGTATTCAGTATGTAAGGGAGGCAGGAAGAAGGGAAAGCTCTTTATTGCAGTAGAGTATGTACTTACTAGAGTAGAAAAAATGATAGACCATCACTATGTTTTTGGCCACCATGGTAAAAAAAAAAAAAAAAAATTGATACCAGTGGTAATCATCAATGAATGCTAACCCCATTTGGTGAAAGGTTGTTGAGCTTGATATTGAGATGTATTGACATACCTCCCATTGATTACATGTTATTTACAGAGAGAAAAATGTTTTTTTCACAGTGGAGGAAATTGAGACACCACAACAATCCTAGTGGTCAATCTTAATCTCATCAGTAGTGGGTCAAACTGCCATGATGTGTGTCCTGAGTGATGGCTGAAAAGGACACATCATATATATACTGTTCCTGTTAAAAGTGCTTAATTTGAATCACAGCATAAGGAAGAAGGCAGACAAATCCAAAATGAGGGAAATTCTATAGACTAACTGGTCTATAGACCAGTTGGTACTCTTAAGTATCAGTATCATGAAACACAAGAAAAGGAGAGGAATTGTTCCGGATTAGAGAAGAGGAAGACATGAATAACTGAAGTAGATAATCCCGTGTTTATGTTTTTGTTATGAAGGATATTACTGGGACAGCTGGGAAATTTGGGTGTGGAATGTATAGAAGATAGTATTTTGTCAGTGTTAACTTTCTTGGGTGTGTTCATGTTATTGAGCTTTTGCCATGGGTATGTTTGTATTCTTAAGAGTTACCTGCTGAAGTATTTAGGAGTGAGTGTTATGATGCCTGCAGTTTACCTTCAGATAGATCAGCAAAAGGATAAGAGTGTGTGTATTTGCGTGTGCGTATATAGTTGTGATGAATCGAAGTGAAGCCTATGCATTTGTTCATTGTACCGTTCTTTCACCTTTTCCTTAGGATTAAAAAGTTTCAAAAGAAAAGTTTGGGAGGGAAAAGCTTTAAAGTAGTAGTAAGTTATTTATAAGTGTATCCGTGTGGTAGCTTTAGTTATATGTATGCCGTTTTCTGACTTATCAAACATGTATATAGTGCTTCTTGCATGCCAGATGCTGTTGTGAGTGCTTTACCAATATTATCTTACCATAGCTCTTTGAAATAGATGCGGTTTGTTGTCTTTCATTTTATGGAGCAGGACATTGAAGCACAGGTGGATTCAGTAACGTGTCCAAGATCATAGGTAGTTAAGTGGAAAGTTGGGATCTCAACCCAGGCAGTCTAGTTCTGGAGTCCATGTTCTTAACCACTGTGCTCTGTTGTAGCTCAGATTTTCTACTTTGGAGTATGTGCGTGCGTGCGTGTGTGCGTGCGTGCGTGTGTGTGTGTTTTATAAGACGATAGAGTCATGATCTAAATCATCTTAAATTCTGAATTTAAATTCTTTGAGTGACAAGTGATGTTGGTCAAGATATACTTGAAGAATTACAATTCTGAGTGCTGTCTGGAACACCAAAGTTTAAATTATGCTTACTAGAATTAATAGCACCTGTACTTTGAAAATTGGTAGTCTATGCATGGAAATCCTCCTTGATAATGGCATTTAATTAACAAGAATATTTTATTTTTTAACCATGATGAGTAGATAGAATAATATTTTCCTATGGAAAGTCAAATATTCTGCCTTTAAAAATATTCCATGAGAAGGGTTTTATTTTTTTTTTATTTTTTTATTTTTTAAATGTATTTTTAAGATTTCATTTATTTATTTGAGAGAGAATGAGAGATAGAGAGCACGAGAGGGAAGAGGGTCAGAGGGAGAAGCAGACTCCCTGCTCAGCAGGGAACCTGATGTGGGACTCGATCCCGGGACTCCAGGATCATGACCTGAGCCGAAGGCAGTCGCTCAACCAACTGAGCCACCCAGGCGCCCCGTGATGAGAAGGGTTTTAAATTCCATTTTGGAAGGCGGTAATTCTAGTAATCTGTTAGTTTGTTTTGAATAATGGAAGGAAGTGTAGTGCAATTCTTTGATGAGGGATGATCTGAAAAGGATTTTTCCCAGTTCATGGATTCCTCCAAGGATGTTCTTCTGTTTTATCTACATTTATACTGACCTTCTAAAGCCTAGGTCAGAAGCCACCTCTACCAGATTTCCATTAAATTCTGTCTGTGGGAAGAATTAACCTCTTGATTTAGCTGTCAGTGTTTTCTGTTGACATTGCATAGTTGCTTACTAATTCTTCTTAACCACATCTCATTTCTTCCATATATTGTAGGCTCTCAGAGGGCAGAATTAATCATTATTTTTCGGTCCCCTACAGCAGGGTCAGCTAACTATGGCCTGTAGGCCAAATTTGATCTGTCATATTTTTGTAAATAAATTTGTATTGGAACACTACCATACTCATTCATTTCCTTATTCTCTCTGGCTGCTTTTGCACTAGAGCGAGAGAGTTGAGTAGTCAGGGTAGAGGTGATAGGGCCTAAACTATTTACTATCTGACCCTCACCAGAAAAATTTGTTGACCCCTGTTCTATAGTATTTTGAACAGTACCATGCATGCATTAGATAGTTGTTGAATGAATTCATGAATTAACATTTGACAGATACATATTTAATGAGAGCATGTCTCTGGACTTCTTTCTGTTAATTTTTTTTTTCCTTTTTCTTCTCCGTTATTGTAAGGTGATGTTTAAATCTCAAGAGTAATTTCTAGAATACCATATGCCTAGGTAACACCCTGATGTTAAATATCTCTTGGAGGGTAAGAATATATTTCAAATGTGGCATTTTAAGAAACTGCTTTGTTGTAACTATAAGAAGTTATTTAGGATTAATCTATATTTTCTGCAGCAACTGGTTCTGAACCTATGTATTGGTCAAGTTTCATGACCAGCAGTATGCAATTGGCAAAAGAATGTCTTAGCCAGAAATTAACAGATGAACAAGGAGAAGCATCGCAGCCTTTTGAAGGACTTGAAAAGTTTGCTGAAACCATTGAAACAGGTTTGGCATTATGGAGTACTTTCAAAAATTTTAGTTTTTTTTTTTTTTAATTAGTAATGTAGTACCTTTCTTTAGTGAGCCTTGTATAAGGAAAATCCATTGGAGTGATTTTTTTTTTTTTTTTAAGGCGTTACTGTTCTCACTTCAGAACTTTAGAATTGAGGTTATTTTAAATATTCAATTTAATTTCATGTCCTTCTGTACCCTAGTTTTTTTTTTTTTCCTGTTTCCTTTATTCTTGTGTAATGAAGGGTTTAGAGTTCAGCAGAGTGTGTTGGGCATTGCACACGTATCTGTTAGGTGCTCAGTGAGGAAAAATGTTTATTACCAAACTCAAGATTTGGGGATTTTTAAGGAAAGAAATACTACCAGTTTATTTTGTAAGTTCTTATTAAGCTACTATATATTCCTTTCATTAGAAGTTTTTATTTAGTATACATGTGGTCTCATGTTGATGGTTACCTGTTTACTCTAGTACTAAGAAGAGTAAAAGTCACTTTTATAGACACTGTCTTGAGAATTGAACACGTGCCAGAAAATTCCAAAACTGGAACTGCACTTGAAATTCGAATAGAAAGGTAAGACTTCTTATATCTGAGAATAAATGACCCTATTCTTTTCTTTTATAGATAGTAAGATCTGACTTTCATTAGATTTCATGATGGTTTTAGAGATTAGAAGTGATGCAATTGAGTTACTACATTGTATGTTTTTAGAGTAAAGCTCTGCTCTCCAAGATATGTTCTAATCCCTTTATTGAAAACTTAAAGTACCATTTGAGGTATAATTATATATAATGTGTGGAATTCAAAGCAAATGATTCTTTTAGTTAATATCAAATAAAAATCATGAATGTGTCAGTGCTGCTAAATTTAAGACACTCCAGTTGGAGTTTTTTCATATGAGCGATGCCCTGTTTCAGCATGTCTCATTAACACGAGGGGCTTCTTTGCTTTCCTGTGCTTGATCTGAGTGCTGCTTTCACGAGAAAGCCTAAGCCTGCAGTTTTCTCTGAGAGGATTCTGTGGGAGTATTTGTGTAATAGTGATTTACTTAAAAAGATAGAAACCAGGACTTAGTTTTCTGTGTATGCCCACTGGGAGCCTTATAAATAGCTGAGTGTCGATTTGAGGTAGTCACTTTTTTTTTTTTTTTTGGTGGGCAGCAAAGCAAAGTTTTTTGAGAGTACAGTAATGTACAGATAGTACAAAGCACCCAAAGAAGGAGGGGACCCGAGAGGGTTGCCCTTGGGGTAGTCACTGTTCACCTGTGTCTTAATGTGATAGAAATACGCGGAATTCCACTGAGCACTGAAGACACTTTGTATAGGGAACTTTTGGGGGCTTTTACGCAATTTTAAGCAGATATGTTATGGTTTCTGTCTTTCTATCATAAAATTACCTATTAGTGAAACAGTTATTGTTAGCAGATTTTTGAAATTAGGTTGTGTTACCTGAAATGGTATATTAAAAAGTATCTAAAATCTCATGTAGAACTACATTCTGTATTTTGTTGAAAATGAAGTGAGTCATAAGAACTCATAGAATAGTCAAAGAATTCAAAAAATGTCATTCATTGCGGACTTGTGACTTGGAGCCAAATGCTGTCTCACTGTTACTAAGAGATGTTTGTGAGGAAGCACAGGAATTGTTTTCCTTGAGGCTAACTTTAGGAAGTTATTAATCTTTTCCTCCAGTTTAGGGGCCCCATAAAATTATCCTTCTTGAGGCTGAGGTTCTCTTGGTGAAAACATTTCCTGTAGTAAAGCACTAATGTTGACCACATTCTAGGCATTTTCTAAGTGCTAACACTCGAAAAACTCTTTACCTTAAAAAGCTATGTGTGTTTCTTAGACTTGCAAGTAGGTTTTCTTAGGAGTTTTATGCCAGCGCTTTTTGTTTTGAACTTTGAGAACTGTCTACTGTGATGAAGCTGCTGATGAGGCCTCAGGAATTAACGTGCATCAGCCCACAGCCTTTGCTCACAAGTTACTCCAGCTCTCCGGAGTATCTCTCTTCTGGGAGGAGTTTTCTGCGTCAGCAAAATCTTCCCCAGTGTGTTCAACTGCACCAGCGGTAAGAAAAACAAAACGAAAAAACCAAACACTAAATCATAGATTTTTAAAGAGTTTAAATTAGGGGCACCTGGGTGGCTCAGTCGGTTGAGCATCTGACTCTTGATTTTGGTTCAGGTGGTGATCTGAGGGTTGTGAGATCCAGCCCAGCATCAGGCTCTGCGCTGGGCATGGAGCCTGCTTAAGAGTCTCTCTCCCTCTCAAAAAAATAAATTTAAAAATAAATAAATGGTTTAAAGGAGGGCAATTAAATTGTGCTAGGATATAAAATACGTGTTAGTGAGTTTCCATCTGATCTGGACGTTAACACAAATATTCAGTAATGGAGACCCACATTTCAGAGTTTTTTTTAAAATACTCAACATTTATGATTAATGCCTTTCCTACCAGGGTATAACATTGGATACTGTGTCTTGTAGGAAAATGATATATTAACAACTAATACCCTTTTATAATAAAAACAAAAGCGGTGTTCACATTTACCTTACATAATGAATGTATGGCTGAAAACTTACAAATTATATCTTAATGTTTTATAATTAAGGAACTTTTTATTACTCCTTTCTAAGAGTAGAGAGCCCTTTTATAAATCAGTCCTTCCATAATTTATCTTTTACATTATTTCAGATTTTCATAATTATAGAATGTCTATTATGTTTTCTTATTGCTGTAATTTGAATAGATGTGCTTTTTTTTCATAAAGTCCTTTTCCATGATTTGCCTTTATTACCGTTGTTTCCTGCTAGCTATAAGACACTGGTTTATTCATTGTCACATAGTACAGTTTTTCATGTCAAATATTTTACTCTTCTTAAGTTGACATTTGTTTTTTGCATTTTGGTTTATTTATACTAAGATGTTCTAAAGAATTACTTTATTCTTAATTGCCTTATTATAGGAAACTGAGCCAAAGCTGTCACCTAGCTGGAATCCCAAAATTGTATATGAGCCACACCCACAACTAACTAGAAATTTACCAGAGGTAGCGCCCTCTGACCCAGTGCAGATTGGAGGGCTAATTGGTAGGCTGGAGTTGAGTCTCACGTTGAAACAGAATGAAGTACTTCCTGGAGCTAAGGTCAGTATTTGTGTCATTTTCTATAGTTAAAACAGAAGTACAAGTATTTAATGTGTGTAGTGACCCACCAATTGGCCACTGTGGGTTGTCCTGTAACTAGGGTGCCCTCTGTCCTGGAGTCCGTGTTCTTAATCTCAGCTGGTACCTCTGTCCTTAGGTCTCAGGGCCTCTGCTCAGGCTCAGGTATTACTACTGTCTCCTGCACTCACTTTCGCCCATTCTAGCAGTTCAGAAACATTCATGAGTTAATAAATTAGGAATTTGTTAAAGACTTTCTGTCATCATAACTTTCAGTTTAAAGGAGAAGAATATGGAAGTAAGAAGTTGACTATAGAAGGTGTTTAATTGTATGCATCTAAAAATGCCCACCTAGATGTGTTTTGAATGGAATGACCATTTTTATAGTTGTACAATGTTTATGAAAAGAGATTGATTTTTTTTTTTTTCATGATGTCTCATGGCTTTTTGAAGACCCTGTAAAGACAGCTGCACTTGGTTCTTAGGGGACAGCTGCACTTGGTTCTTAGGGAACAGTATTGAACAGTCTGCTGGAGAATCAGGAAGCCTATATTAGTCTGTTAAAAATGTCTTTTCAAAGACATTTATGTGTTATTTTCAAACTTTGAAAACAAATTTTCTATATAATCTCTGTAAATGTAGTTTAAATTAAGAAAATATCAGGATTTGTTCATCTGTTTACTCACTGGGCTAACTAGCTGTAGATGTTGGAGTAAACTGGATGCCAGGCCCTATGCAGTTTCTTGGGTGAGATGCAGAGAAGAGGGGAATACTGTCTTTGCCTTAATACAACGTATAATAAAGGGTATAGACATTGCTGTGGGGACATGGAAGAGGGAGCAACTGAGTACTCGTGCATGCACATAAGATTTTCAGACGATTGAGGATCTCCAGCAGTCCATCCTTGGATTGGCACACCTGGCTCCAGTTAGAAGCAGAGGAAGGTGATGATCAGAATGCCAACCTTCCTGTTGCTGATTACTTCCTCTCCTTTGTTTACTGCTTTGTCCTACCTCTGGGGGTATGAGATCCTTTCACTAGGTCTTAAGCCTGTTCATAAAATAACAGGAAAGCCATAGGTCTGTTTCAGCATGACAGGGAATCCCCTGAGGTGCTAACATCCTTGGGGAAACTAACACACCCATGCCTCTGGGGAATGCATTAGCTATTTCTTGAAGAAGGAAGAACCTTCCTTCTTCTGACTGCCTTCTATAAAAGGCAGTCACTTTTATAGTTCTGTTTTGATTAGCTAGTCCTCAACATTTGTATATTTGATCTTTATGCAAACCTGAACTTTTGCACATTAGGTGTTGATTTGTAGAAGTGCCTTTTTAAAAAAAATTTATTTATTATTATTATTATTTATTTTATTTATGTATTTGACAGAGACACAGCGAGAGAGGGAACACAAGCAGGGGGAGTGGGAGAGGGAGAAGCAGGCTTCCTGCGGAGCACGGAGCCCAATGCGGGGCTCGATCCCAGGACCCTGGGATCATGACCTGAGCTGAAGGCAGGCGCTTAACGACTGAGCCACCCAGGCGCCCCTGTATAAGTGCCTTTTCGATGTTACTTTTGGACATCTTTGTATTAGGTGACAAGTGAACATCTGGAATTTATAGCATGATGGCATTGTTTGCCAGCCAGTGTTTGATATTTGGAGATATTAACATCCTTGTCTACATGGTAATTTTTGTGTTGTAACTTGAGTTTGAGTACCTTTTGTTCTTATTTAATGAAAATGAAGGCTAAAGTTCTAGATATTAGCTTTGAGAAACATAAGTCCCATAAACTTAATGCCGTGTAGACAAAGATGGCATTGGTGAGGGGTGCTCAGGTGTCAGATCTTTAGTCTCACCAATGTTCATTAGATCCACAGGTTTTTCAACTGTGGGATCAAAATGTTATGAAAGGTTTGGGGGGGGGTGCTCCTGGGTGGCTCAGTCAGTTAAGTGTCCGACTCTTGATTTTCGCTCAGGTCATGATCTCAGGGTCGTGAGATTGAGCCCTCGCTTAGTACAGAGTCTTCTTTGAGGTCTCTCTCTCCCTTTTCCTTTGCCCCCTGCCTCCTTGTATGTGCATGTGTGCGCTCTCGCTCTCTAAAATAAATTTAAAAAAATTTTTTTTAGTTCTCTGAGATGGTACCCACCCCAAATTGTGTGTCGGCTTGATAGTTCACATGTTCAGTTTTAGCATATACTCTCAGGAGCGTATAAGAAAATAGAGGAGCTGTATGTATTGAATTTATAGACATTTTGTTTGGTTACTGTTGTCATATTGAGTTTGAAATTATTTTAGTTATGTTCTGTTTTTTCTGTTTCCAGAGGAAAGTAAGAGCTGCTTTGTTCTTTGTATGCCAAATTTAGAATGTACAAGTAATATTTCTATGAACATTAGAAGTGAAACTCTTGATAATCCATCCTAATAAAGGTCAGAGATTATGTTTTCAATACTAAGAAATTAAAAACCAATTTTTAAATATGGCATGTAATCAGAAAGAGATTTTCCCACTGTCCCCAGCCTAAACTCCTTGCTGATTCATCATCTGGGATGGCAGCTCTCAGCAAGGAGCTCCATAAAACAAATCCACCGAGAACCATACCATGGGAGGAGTGAGGGCTTCCCATCTCGGTCACACTAGGTTAAAATCCTGGCTTTGGGTCTGTAGATGGCCTTGTGCAGATCTTTATGATTCCATGTCCTCGTCTGTAAAACAGGTGCCTTTCTAGAATGAGCGGAAATGTAGTAAAAGCATAGTGCCCTAACACTCAGAAAAAGGTAATAGTGAGGATTGTTATTCCTGGAGAATACATTATATTCTCCGATCATGGAAGCTTCTCGGCATTACTGTGTAATATTTTTTGCTTTTAGAATCAGAAGAAATTTGTCCATCCGCCCCGGGAAGATACCATTTTCCAAATATAAATATTAATTGAATTCTTTTAAAATTGTGAAATGGAATAAAGATAATAAGAGTGTTAGCATTAGCCCTAAGAGGAGATGAATGAAAAGTAAGGCAGGCATACTCAACTTGTTAGAATGTGATGTAGAAAATAGAGTAATTGTTTTGTCAGAATATACTCCACAGGAATCAGGATGAGACCAGCTGGGGTTTTTATTTCCACGAGGAAAAATGGACAAAGACTTGGAAAAGAGCAAGGCAGTCCACATGAGCACCTGCTTCGTGGGCATCTCTGCTGTGGCCTGCACTTTCCTGCCCAACAGAGAGCGGGCTTTGTGGAACCCTGTGTGCACGTGTGGAGAGGCACACTGTTGGTAGGGAAGGGCCTCACATGCTCTCTTAGGGAGTGTTACCCATGCGCGAACTTGAGAAAGCCAACTTTATTTGCTCTTGGCTTGAATCCCACTTTGAGGATTATGATTTGAGTCTTGAAATCCTGTTGGGAATGAATTCTGTGCTGCTGCTGTCTTCATATTCTTCCTGGTGACTGTGACTTGAAGCCTCCTCAAATACCTGAAATACTCAGAAAACTCAGAGATAAAAATAGGACATTGGACTTGCCAACAAGGAATTTTGCAGGGGGATTTTTCCCCTTAGAACAACAGTTTGGTGGCCTTTAAGTCTTTCATTTAGATTGTGTTAATTAGTGGAGGGAATCTTAGTTGAAGGAATCCCAAGACTTAAGTAATCAGTCATTAAAGTATACTGGGATTTGTGGTGATGAGATTTTAAAGAGTGTTTATCCTGAATGGCTTATTTTTTTTTTTTTTTGAAGTTGGATATTGATGGACAGATAGACTCTATTCATCTATTCCTGTCACCAAGGCAGGTGCACTTGCTTTTGGATATGTTAGCAGCTGTTGCTGGACCAGGCAAGTATGGCAAAAGGCAACTCTGTTATTATTTTTGATTATTTAAAACTTTTTAGATTCTGTGATCCCTAGCTAGTTGCTTAAAGCTACTGCATAGCTCTGATTAATATTAAATAGTGGTAGTTCTGCATTGACTGTGGCATGAAGTTGCCATTGGTATTGGACAAGTGGGTTTTGGGAGAGAGATGATTGATTAACTCCAAATTTAATTACTGTTTTGCTTTCCTTTCTATACTTGTAGAAAATTCTAGCAAAATAGGGTTAGCTAATAAAGATAGAAAAAGCCGACCCATGCAGCAAGAAGAGGAATATCGAATTCAGATGGAATTAAACCGGTATTATTTGAGAAAAGATTCCCTCTCAGCAGGTGTATCTTCAGAGCAAAGCTTTTATGAGACAGAATCCGCTCGTACACCTTCTAGCCGTGGTAAGCGACTGAAACAATTGACACTGGATTCTTACAACATCATCATAGAGCAAAGTAAACTTAATTTGGCCGCTGTGAAATGGAGTTTAGTAATGAAAGAACGAAAGATCCGTGATCTAAGAAGGTTTAAATTTGTTAAGTTGATCTAACTGCAGCATTACAGTGATGCAGTGGTTCACGTATCCTTTTTTGAGTGTGTAATCTTGTTTTGTAAATCATGACTTCTTTTTTATTCTAAGGACAGTCAATTTACAAAAATGTAGATTTACCCAAAAGATAAATTGGGGTAATCATTTTATCAAATTCTTACATGCTTGTATACTGATTTACGGTTAGAGGCCCTTAAATGGAAACTTTTTTTCTACTCTTCCATCAATTACACGTAAATAGTCTTTACACAGTTTACTTTGCATTTTTACAGGTGTTTTAGAATGTTTAGCACTAATACCTTAACAAGAATCCATTTAAGTATAGAATGTTGAACTAAATAAGTTTTAAAATCGACTCAAGAAATTTTGGTCATAACAAACTTCATTTGCATGAGGGTAAAACAACCTCCAGAAAGAAGTGAAATGTAAATGAAATTCTAAATAATACATTCAGGTGTTTTGTTTTTTTTAAAGAGCTGTATTCATACGAAACCAGAGATTGCAAGATCTTTATACTATTTTAAAGTTGGATTTTAACTTCTAAATTGTCACATGACACTTAAAAATATACCACGTAGTACTGCAAATCTTACATTAAAAAAAAAACCCAAAAACCAAGTTCACCGGTAGGATAGCATAATGTTTTGTTAACTTGTATTTGGTTGAGTTTTTACTATGCCATTTATATCTTGGATCCTCACAAATTACCCCATCAGAAGTAATGTAAATTGTAGGGCATCACTGTACTTAGATAATCTGAAGAATATTATATTAATGTATGTTAACTTAATTTAAAGACCTGAATTATACAACTGACAAGGTTTAATTTTGTCTAGAAGAAGAAGTTTTCTTCTCCATGGCTGATATGGACATGTCCCATAGTCTCTCTTCTCTTCCACCTCTGGGAGACCCTCCAAATATGGACCTTGAGTTGTCATTAACTAGTACATATACAAATACTCCAGCAGGATCTCCATTAAGTGCTACTGTGGTAAAGTTTTTAAATTTTGTTCTATTCTTAAAAAGTGGCTTCTGAAATTCTACACTTTATTCATGTGATTTAAAAAAAAATTATTTTACAGCTTCAGCCAACATGGGGAGATTTCCTTGAACATCATAAAGAACAACCAGTAAGAGGGTCCACATTGCCATCCAACCTAGTTCACCCACCAAATTTACAGAAGACTTGTAAGTAGTGTAAGACACTTAACGGTAGTTTTCCACTGGAATTTATTTATTTTATTATTTTTTAAAGATTTTATTTATTTATTTGACAGAGAGAGACACAGCAAGAGAGGGAACACAAGCAGGGGGAGCGGGAGAGGGAGAAGCAGGTTTGCCGTGGAGCAGGGAGCCCGATGAGGGGCTTGATCCCAGGACCCTGGGATCCTGACCTGAGCCGAAGGCAGATGCTTAACAACTGAGCCACCCAGGCGCCCCTTCCACTGGAATAAAAAAAAAAAAATTGTTTCTTTCTAGAAAATACCATTCTACTGCTGCTTTTCTTTCCCCTCATACATTTTTTTTTGAGCTAGGCCATTTAACAAAGTTTAGAAAGAAAATGTGAAGCATGGTTGAACAACTCAACCGTGAAGTATTTTAGAATAGTTGCCAATTCACTGTAGTCTTTTTTTTTTTTTTTAAAGATTTTATTTATTTATTCATGAGAGACAGAGAGAGAGAGAGAGAGAGAGAGGCAGAGGGAGAAGCAGTCTCCCAAAGAGCAGGGAGCCCGATGCGGGACCCGATCCCAGGAGTCTGGGATCATGACCTGAGCTGAAGGCAGACGCTTAACCATCTGAGCCACCCAGGCGCCCAATTCACTGTAGTCTTTGTGTATTTAAATATCTTTAGTAAAAAGTACACTGTAAGTTTCATATTATTATTGTAGTTTAGGAGTCTCAGTCAACCATCAATACTTGTTCCATTGTTTACACCTTCCTTAAAAGAGAACCTCAGGTCTCTTCTCCACGAAATTTAATTGAAATAGAACCAAGGCTTAAAAGAAAATTTGGTGAGCAGGTTTTGGGTTAATCTGCAACTTTTCCAATACAGTTTTATTAATGCAAAACTTTTGTTCATGTTTCTTTTTGATGCTTCAAGTATCAAAGATCCTGAATATCAAATGCAGAAAGATAACAGTTTATCTTGTTGAATATCAAATATCAAACTGTTGTGTGTTCACCTGCTTTTTAAAACTAACACATGAGTAAATGCTTTATAATTTTGATATAATGGATTGTTTTTAAGTATTAAATTTTATGTATATAATTTTAACCCATGTGTTTCAGCTCTCCCATCTAGATCTGTTTCAGTGGATGAATCCAGGCCTGAACTTATTTTTAGACTAGCTGTGGGAACCTTTTCCATCTCTGTGCTTCACATCGATCCTTTATCTCCACCTGAAACATCACTAAACCTTAATCCATTGACGCCTTTGGCGATAGCATTCTTTACCTGTATAGAAAAGATTGACCCAGCAAGATTTTCAACAGATGATTTTAAGTCTTTCCGAGCAGTATTTGCGGAAGCTTGCAAACATGATCACCTTAGGTAAATTCTCTCATGTTTATTAATGATGCTTGAAAAAGAACGAGGTGGGGACTTTTTTATCTGTCTAACTCTGTTTTTCTTTCTTTTTTTTTTTAAAAAGATTTTTATTTATTTTGAGAGAGTGAGAAAGAGAGAGAGAGAGTACATGAGAGGGGGGAGGGTTAGAGGGAGAAGCAGGCTCCTTGCCGAGCAGGGAGCCTAATGCGGGACTCGATCCTGGGACTCCAGGATCATGACCTGAGCCAAAGGCAGCTGCTTAACCAACTGAGCCACCCAGGCGCCCCTAACTCTGTTTTTCTGATTCGCATTTTATTTGTAAATGAGGGAATGAGTGAGATTTTCTTGTAGTGCTACAAAAATGTTTACCATAGAATCTTTTATTCAGCTTACTTGGCATGCAAACCTATTTACATATAAGGTTGAGGTAATCTGGAGTTTTTTCTGCTCTTGACAATTTTTTTTTTAAGATTTTTTTAATTCATTAGAGACAGAGCACAAGTGAAAACATGAACAGGTGGGAGGGGCGGAGGGAGAGGGAGAAGCAGACTCTGTGCTGAGCTGGGTGCCCAATGCGGGACTCGATCCCAGGACCCCAGGATCATGACCTGAGCTGAAGGCAGACGCTTAACCCACTGAGCCACCCAGGTGCCCTTGACAAGTTTTTTTTGGACCATATTTTGCTGATTAAAATATTGACACCATTGTAATCATAAAAATAGTTCTTATTGTCACTGGCTCAGCGGAGATGGCAGTGGTGGTGAGAGTGGAGTGAGCTAATGAGAAGGGATGTGGACACAACATGACCCCCGTGCCACTGTCTGTGGGGTGGGGAAGGGTACCAGCGCTGATCCTGAGCCCGATGTTACACTTTCAATTTCTGCTTTAAAAAGTTAAAGCCATCCGGGGGCATGTGGGTGGCTCAGATGGTTAAGTGTCCAACTCTTGATCTCAGCTCAGGTCTTGATCTCAGGGTCGTAAGTTCAGGCCCCAAATTGGGCTTCACGCTGGGCATGGAACCTACTTAAAAACAACAACAAAACTTCATTTAAAAAAAAGAAAAAATTAAAGCCATTCACATAGCCAGTGATCCTTTCATGGGTTGAGTCCTAATGAATGAGGAGGTAAATTTGTAAGTATAATATTGTTAATATGTAAACATTGCTCATCTTAGTGAAAGTTATCTTTTGATCATATTTTATACAATTTAGGCACATATATTAATATTTTTAGGAAAGTTTGACCTTTTAATTTTTTTTTTGAAGTATTAAAATTAATATACAGAGTAGTTTTTATACCTGGCTAAAGAAACTCTACAAGTTAGGGCCATAGTATTTATAATTAAACTGTAAAAACATTTTGACAAGGTTTCAAATGTCTGCCAGTAGGAAATAAAACAAAAGCAGCAAAAATAGGAAGACGACTTTCACTTGAGATCCACTGACTGAAGGTTTTAAAGTACTGCATGAGGCTTTTAAATAATTTTAAGAATCTACTGCATATAGTTTGAAAGATTTTTGTCCACTGCAGTGTAAATTTTTATTTTTATTTATTTTTTAAAGATTTTATTTATTTATTTGAGAGAGAGAGAGAGAATGAGATAGAGAGCACGAGAGGGAAGAGGGTCAGAGGGAGAAGCAGACTCCCCACTGAGCAGGGAGCCCGACGCGGGACTCGATCCCGGGTCTCCAGGATCATGACCTGAGCCGAAGGCAGTCGCTTAACCAACTGAGCCACCCAGGCGCCCGTACAGTGTAAATTTTAAAATATTAAAGAAGGGAGGGCAGTGTTGGGAAATAATATATCCTGGATAATTTCCTATCAGAAATTGCTTTCTTATGTCAGGGAATGGGAAATTTGAAGCAGTCTTTCTGGTTAATACCCTTAGGAATATTATTATATATTAGAATATGTACTTTATTAACACTTGTGTACTATTTGACACGTTGGTTAACCTAGAAGTATATGAATACTCTTAAATGCTTCATTTTCTCTAATAGATTTATAGGTACTGGCATCAAAGTGTCCTATGAACAAAGACAAAGATCAGCTTCCCGATATTTTAGTACTGATATGTCCATTGGGCAAATGGAACTTTTGGAATGCCTGTTTCCAACTGATTCTCATTCTGTTCCTCCTCACTACACAGAGGTAAACGCTAGATACTTTGCCTTTAGGATCATTCTTTAAATCTACCTTGCTTTTAAAGAGTTGTATTAATAGCAATGATTTTATTAAAAAAAAATATAGGAAGCCATTAGAGGAAGGAAGAGTGCATGTGTACGCATTTGTATTTCGTTGAAACATTTTAAAGTATGGCTTTCAAGGTCATTGTAAGAGTCTGTTAGAATTTTTTAGAGTTGACTTGTTTTAGGGCGGCAGACAGATTATGGGACAGATGACTTTATTTCCCTAATTTTCCAAGCACTATTAATTTCAGAAGTCTGTAAAACAAATACTGAATACCTGCAGTGTGCTAGTAAGCACTGTTCAAGACAAGCACAGTGTCTTTTGTTTATTATTAGTCTGATTTTTTTTTTCCAATTCTAAAAGTGTGTGCTAGAGGAACTTTACAAAGTTATCAAGATAACATTTATTGCTGTTACTTTTCCTTGTACATTATTTTATTTTCAAAGTACTTTCTTGGGCGTTAATTCACTTGAATTCTCATGTACATTCTGCAGATGAGATACTAAGTATCACAGAAATTGTCTTAAGATTTACATTGCTTGTGAATGACCAAAATGAAATGTAAAATGAGATTTCCTGATTTAAAAAAAGTCTTTCCACCACTAGTACCTCTGTTAATTCATGGGATGAATTATAGTTTAATATCTTACATTTATTTTTGTCTTTGTTTGTAAGCTTTTAATGTTCCATCCCAAAGAACGAACTGATTCCCATCTCCCTGTGTGTCTTCAGCTTCATTATAAGCATTCTGAGAATAAAGGACCCCAGGTAAGAAGCCTTATTGTGTGATACCACCTATAAATTTTCATTTGATACGTATTTTCTCACAATCATACAGTTTCTAAATTTTGTAGTAGTGTTAGTGATCATATTAATGTTTTCCCTTTTATTTTTTTAAAGGGTAATCAAGCAAGGCTTAGTTCTGTTCCTCAGAAGGCAGAATTACAAATTAAGTTAAATCCTGTGTTTTGTGAGCTGGATATCAGTATTGTGGACAGGTTAAATTCTTTGCTTCAACCACAAAAGCTTACTACGGTAGAAATGATGGCATCGCACATGTATACTTCATACAATAAACATACTAGTCTGGTAAGTATTCAGAACATTACAAATACTAATCCTAATTATAACTAGCTAATGGGCTTATTGGGATCATTTCTGAGCTTAAGTATTCTTAATGGATTAAATAGCATATAGTATTAAAACAGCATTATTCATAATGAAAAGATGGAGACTTTTATGTCTAGATGGTAGGCTAGCTGAATAATGTTTGCTAATATATTGAGTGAAATTTTATGTGGCCATTTTGAATGATGGTTATAAAGATGGTGTAGCCACATGAAGAAAGCTCATGAAGGAGTATTAAGAGAAAAAGTGAAACATATTATTTCACAGAAACTTTTATCACAACTGTGTAAATAAAATTGAGGTATAGAGAAAGAATGGATAGAAATATACCAGTTGGTAGCATTGATTATGTTAGAGTGTAGAATTAGATTTCCTTTCCCTCTCTGTGTTTGTTTGAATTTTATAAGTTGCGATTATAATACCTGCAGAAAATTTATTCACACATTAGTAAACTACCTGATCTACCTATAAAATGTAGCCCATATATTGTAAGGTACACTTTTGAAAGTGGGAACATAATTTATAGCATTGAGTTATTGAGCATCACATTAGGTCACTTAGATCTGTCTGATGCATGGTGTCTTTTCTAAGCAGTTCAAGTAAGTCATATTTGCAAGAAATCTGTTAGGAATCTTGGGCTGGAACTAGGGGGCTCTCGGACCAGGAACAGATAGAGACAACTTTGGTTAAAAGAAAAGGGAGGAGGTGTTTTTCTACTTGTTTCACCCTTAATTAGTGGTGGGTATTCACATTAAATCAGCATTTTTTATTTATTGTTGTCACCAATTACTAGTTATTTCAAGTTTTGTGGGGCTAGTGTGCATATTTGCTGTTAGCCATAGATGTGCTGGGATGATGGTTAATCTCTTGGGCTATTTTTGCTGAGAGTGGGGGTTAGTGTTACAGAGTCCAAGAGGGGGAGAGAGGATAGGTGTGCTAGAAATCCCACGTAAGAAAGGAGCTCCCTAATCCAGGAGGTTAGACACTGATTCGTGAAGTGGAGTGTTACCACCTGCAGCGTACTCTGGGCTAACGCTTTAGAAGCTTCAGTACATTTTAGAAAAACAAAAAACAAACAGAAATTGACTTTTATCTGAAGGGCATGCTCTTTTTTTTTAAGATTTTATTTATTTATTTGACAGAGAGAGAGAGGGAGAGCAGGAACACAAGCAGGGGGAGTGGGAGAGGGAGAAGCAGGCTTCCCGCGGAGCAGGGAGCCCGATGTGGGGCTCGATCCCAGGACCCTGGGATCATGACCTGAGCTGAGGGCAGATGCTTAACGACTGCGCCACCCAGGTGCCCCCGCAGGGCATGTTCTTTGACCCTTCTGCTGTAACATGGCTTTGAGTAGAGGGTGCATATGTGTCTTGGTTTCTAAGGGCCGTTTGATGGACTCATACCCTTGGTTGGATGGGAGCTCAGAGTGAGTCATTTGGTGAGTATTTAGAATTTAGACTGTGTCAGGCTCTAGGCTTAGTCCTGGAAATACAAAGTTAAGTCAGGGATGGGCCCTTGCATTTGGCATGATCTTATTTCACATCACGTCTTTAAAGGAGCATGTTGGTAGATAAATCCTTCAAATTGAATGTTGAGTTGATTTTTAACTGTATTGGATTTATTGATAACCTAATCTAATGCTGTTGTTTTTTACTCTTAGTAATATGTGTATACATCTACAGCACCTGTGTCTTCACTTTGGTTTGGTTTTTATATTGACTGATTGATTTTGACTTAATTTGGTTTAACTTTTGCCAGTTATTTGAAGTTTGATCAGTAACTATTACATTATAGAATTTCATTACACTAAATTAATATGGTAGTAGTTAATTTGAATTGTATTTTAATTCATTATACTGAATGAGGAAATAGTGATTATGCATATTGTAATGTTGAATATTAATGTCATTTATGTTTACCTAATTTGATGTTTTGACATATTTTTGATATTTTGTGTTTTAGCACAAAGCTTTCACTGAAGTATTTCTGGATGATTCACATAATCCTGCAAATTGTCGGGTGTCAGTACAAGTGGCCACACCAGCGTTAAACCTTTCTGTTCGCTTCCCAATACCTGATCTTCGATCAGATCAAGAAAGAGGACCATGGTTTAAGAAGTCACTTCAAAAGGAGATCCTTCATTTAGCATTCACAGACCTAGAATTTAAGACTGAATTTATAGGAGGATCAACCCCAGAACAAATGAAATTGGAACTTACGTTTAGAGAATTAGTTGGTAAGATTGAACATGCGTGTAAGAACCAGAGCAGAAACAAACAATACTACTCAGGCAAACATCATGAAAAAGTATATGGTAGCCCCCAATATAGACAGTGTTAGAAAGCAAGAGTAATGAGTTTTTTCCAATATTGTATACCAATATGTGATAGAATTGATTTTTTTTTTTAAGTTACTAAGCATGATTATTCACTTTATTAAAATACTTTTCTGCAAGGAGTGTAGTGCTGTAGCTTACTTTTTTTTAAAGATTTTATTTGAGAGGGAGAGGGAGGGAAGGAGAGAGAGAGAGCACCAGCAGGGAGAGGAAGAGGAAGAAGCAGGCTTCCTGCCAAGCAGGGAGCCCAGTGCAGGGCTTGATCCCAGAATCCTGAGATCATGACCTCGGCCGACCAGACGCTCCTTTAACTTACATTTTTATTGCCACCTGACTACTTAATTTTTGTAGGGCTGAAAGTAACCAGAATTTCTTAAGTGCCACTCTGTGTTAGGTACTGTACTAAGCACTTCACACGTTACTGCTTTCCTTTCATCGTCATGGTTATGGTAGGCTTATTATTTCCAATTATTTTTTATCATTTATAAGTGAGGAATCCATAGACTTAAGAAGAGGTACCTTCCAAGACCGTGTGGTAGTAAATGGCAAAATCAAGATTCCAACCGAAGTCTCACACTTGAGCTTTCAATCATCATACTAATCTTTGGTGACTTTCCTTTGTAAAACCCATTGACAGTTTTTCTGTATTTGCTTTTGTCATCTAACAGAATATGTATTGACTTAGGGTGAACCAGGTGTATGAGGACCTCTGGAAGATTCTGACGTTCTATTCTGTGGTTCATAAACAACCTGCCTCTGCCACTCCACCCGCTCTAGCCACGCCCTCTCCACGCCACCGTACCCTGCTCCTCCATCTCAGGGAATAGGCTGCAAAATTTTTTTCCCTTGTTCGGAGTTTTACACATCTTTAGAGAGATTTACAATTGACTTGCTGATTATGACTTCATGAAAGGGCTTTAGGGGTTGTCTGATCTTATCTACAGTGGGAAGAAACTCATTTTTCTGGAGGAAAGTCTTTCTTTGTAAAATGGACTGAAAAAGCATGCATAGGATTATTGTGAATGGAAGTAATTCTTACAGTGCTTGGTACAAAACATTTAAGAAATATAGTTATTATCTATGTTCCTAGATTAACTGCATAAACTTTTATGTAGAATAAGCATTCAGTGGCAGTAAGTGGCAACTGCCAAATTTATGTCATGATTATGTACCTGACACATTACACTTGGTACCTAAAAATTTGAGTTTGAACAGAAAACATCATCATTATCTGTTCCTCCTGTCTCCCCACATGTATCCATGAAATAGGAACAAAAGAATGAGTGCTGTGCAACTTAAGGTTGCGCTAGGTCCCTGATTTAGGAGATCTTTGCTTATGTTAGGAGGAAACTATCTTCTTCAGCACTTGCGAAGAAATGCATTTTAGTTAATCATTCGTGTTTTATTAGGGTCATTCCAGGAAGATAAAGGAGAACCATCTATTAAGTTTTTCCATGTGTCTAGCGGAGTAGATGGAGATACAGCGTCATCAGATGACTTTGACTGGCCACGGTGAGTTAGCAGGTGTATATGATAGACATTTAATGAGATCCTTTCAAAAAATGCTGTGGTACTTTTTTTTTTTTAAAGATTTATTTTTTAGTGAGGGAGCAGGGGCAGAAGGAGAGAGAATCTTAAGCAGACTCCACATGCTGAGCGGGAGCCCCACACCGGGCTTGATCGCAGGACCCTGAGATCATGACCTGGACCAAAACTGACAGTTGCTTAACCGATTGCGCTACCCAGGTGCCCCTGCTGTAGTACTTTTAATCGGCATTTTGGCTATTAATTTAAACTAAACATACTCAGCCCTGTTGAGAGAACAAGGAGAGGGAGAAAACAGAGAAAGAGGGACAAATTAAATTGAAAAATCCATATTGAGTGTACTACTCTATGAAAGGTATGTGTCAATACTGTGAGAGATGGTGGTATAAAATGTGTTCCCTGGTCTCAAGTTACCCTGTTTAATTAGAGGCACAAAAGAATCATTAACCATTTAAAAAAAAATAGTTCGGAGCTACAGTAGAGGAGTTATATGGCATCATTTGGTTAGTTAAGTGAATTTTATAGTCCGTGATTGCTTTAGGACACTGCTTTTTTCTTTTTTCTTGTAAGGATCTTATTTATTTATTTGACAGAAACACAGCGAGAGAGGGAACACAGGCAGGGGGAGTGGGAGAGGGAGAAGCAGGCTTCCTGCTGAGCAGGGAGCCCAGTGCGGGGCTGGATACCAGGACCCTGGGATCATGACCTGAGCCTAAGGCAGACTCTTAACGACTGAGCCACTCAGGCGCCCCTTAGGGACACTGTTTTTCAAATCTGGGCTTTTACAAAACTTTTACAAAATACTCAGGGGCCCCACCCTGAGATTTTGGGATAGAGCCTGGGCATCAGGATAGTCTAAAAATTACACCAGATGATTCCAGTGTGCAGGTGGATGTCAAGAACTGCTGCTTCAGGATTTCTTAGAAGAATTAATAAAGTATATTTATTAGAGACTATTAATTATTCATTAACATTTGTTAATTACTCATATATTATACACTGTAATAAGACTATTAATTTAATAGCCTGATAGTGGGCTTGGATATGTTTAAAAGGACTTAGTTTACTTGAAATGACTTTATTTATATATTGACATTATAAATGACTATATTTATTATATTGAAAACTGAATATTTGATATCTGAGAATTAAAGTGACCTTTTTTTGTGCCATTTTCCCTCCAGCCTTTTTTACACCTGCCCCTGTGTATCAGTCCTAGCAGGCTCTTAGGATGGGTGTGAGCAGGACGTGCCTGATAATGAGCGGTTTAGTGCATGAGTTTTCATCATAAATGGATCTACTTTGGTTAATTTGGAAGCACAATTTACATTAGGATGTCTATAAATTAGGAAACAGTCGTGATTGTTCATAACAGGAGCCAACTGGCACCACTTAACTAAGGGGAAAAACACTTCATAGATGCCCCACAGAAGTTTGGTTTGAGGGCACTAGCCCTCCTCACGACGGTGTTGGGAAGGAAACTGCAAAGCCTTTGCTAGTGGTGTGCAGGGAGTAGGAAAGCGGGGCCCAGGGCGTTGGCTCCTTTACTTCAGGTTTGTAGCTTCAATACAGCAACAAGGCAAGCCTTTTGTTACTGAAATTCCTGAAGGGAAATGCTACTTTGTTGTTGGAGTTCTAAGTTATTCTCTATGAGTCCTTGTTTTTCCATTTGAATAATTTCTATGATAGAAGGTCTCTTAGGTGTGCAATATTCTATAATAGCACAACAGACCCCAGAAGCATTTGGTTTCATGAAAGTAAATAGAATTATTAGGTAAAATTTGTCGGCTGTTGATGAAATTGAAAGATAATCTTTTGTCCTCAAGATCAGATTTTCAGTTAGTCAAGTATGAAATGTTAATGCCCTTCTTTTATTTGTTTCATCTGTTCTACATTTTGAAGTTGATAGCACACTCAGAAGTGGTTACATGGGACACAATTAGACTTTGTAGAAAAGCTGAATCCTATTATCGGTGGTTTTTGTATCAGAGTGCAGGAAAGTTAAAGCCTTGCTGTTCATACTTAGGCCTTGATTTTTTAAATTGTCTTTGCTGTCAGAATTGTGCTGAAATTAAATCCACCAGCTGTGCATTCCATTTTGGAGCGAATAGCAGCTGAGGAAGAAGAGAGTGATGGCCGCTATCAGGAAGAGGAGGAAGGGGGTGCTCATTCCCTGAAGGATGTTTGTGATCTGCGAAGACCAGCCCCTTCTCCCTTCTCTTCTCGTAGAGTCATGTTTGAAAATGAGCAGGTAAAATGAGCAATGAAGTGAGCAATGAAGGAATTATCCTTTACCATGTAGCAGTGATTTTCATTCTTTGTTTTTGAAGAAGTACTTTGTATACTGTTATTGCTACCCTTTTAACTCTAAGACTGAATATTTCTTTTCTTGGTTAAAAGTTACATGCTTATTTGTTTGTTTACATATAAAGTCCCATGGATAGGGCAAGAAGATCCTACTGTTATTTTAAACATGAAATGGTTATTTCATGCTTTTTTTGCACCAAACTTGTATTTTAGATGGTGATGCCAGGAGACCCTGTGGAAATGACAGAATTTCAGGATAAAGCAATCAGCAATTCTCACTATGTGCTGGAACTTACGTTACCCAACATTCATATAACACTACCTAATAAAAGCTTTTATGAGAAGCTTTATAATAGGTGAGTTTAAACACATTTAGTTGAGTCTTTGGGATTGGACTTCTCTGCCTGTCTCCCTGTTTCTGCACTTGCCCCTTTTCTTTCTTTTAATGTTATCTACCATCACTGGGTACTTTGTGTGGTGTTGATTACAAAACTGTTAACCGTTCCGATGGGCTGTTGTCATAGCAGAGTTTCCTAACCAGTGTGTCTGGTAACTGGGTTACTTGTATGTGAGATGTTTATTCCCTCCACCTTTGTTGGCTGTTTGCTCTCTGTCACCTTACCACAGAGTACTGAGTAAATGTCTTCTATGTGTGCAGTGACATGAAAAGAGTTGGGAGACCCCTGTATGGAGGGCCAACAGGTGCCAGGGGAGCAGCTTATATGGGGGGCTGGCATGTGCCGGGGTAGAATCAGAATCCTAGAGTCTTTGTACAAGGAGCATCTTTTTTCAAGGTTTAAAAAAGCATCTTGTTAGAATTATATAATATCCATATCCTTAAATATGTATACCAAGCAAATATGTTGAAATAAATAGCATTCTAGAGTTAAAAGAGCCTAGACTTGGAAGACCTTCACAACTTACCTGCCCTAAACTCAGTTTCCTCATCTGTAAAATGTAGATGATACCTTGAACCTGTCTCAGAGTTGTTTGGAGGATTAGATGATACAGCACTTGAGAAGTTCGGAGAATAGTGCCTGGCATACAGTAAGCACTCAGTAGTCCTCTGGTATCATTCCCATCCACTGAAGGAATCACTTCTATAGCAGACCTGAAAGGTGGTCATGTGCTTTTCTAGAAAAAGATGTTCTTAGTATCGGTCATCACTAGCTTCTCATATGTAGGACACATGATTTTCATTTCTATTAATCTTTAGAAGCTGCACTGTTGTTTCTGCTGTACATTTACTTGATATCAGACATCTCTGGTCCTTTATTCCTTAACTGTTCATAATAAGCTCTGGATCTTCTTATTTCCTGCCAGTGACCAGGATTGTTGGTCTTAGAATCAGAAAATTAAGTTCTAGAAAGATCTGTTTAGTTGAGTTGTCTTGATGATGAGATTCACAGGATAGTCTATTTGAGGTGGAGGAAGAAAATGTTCTTCTGTTCAACTTAAAAAACTTTTATTTTTATTTATTTTTTTAAAAGATTTTATTTATTTGACAGAGGAAGACAGAGCGTGAGAGGGAACACAAGTAGGGAGAGTGGGAGAGGGAGAAGCAGGCTCCCCACTGAGCAGGGAGCCTGATGCGGGGCTCGATCCCAGGACCCTGGGATCATGACCTGAGCCGAAGGCAGACGCTTAACAACTGAGCCACCCAGGCTCCCCCCAAAAAATCATTTATTTTTTAACGATTTATTTTAGAGCATATGCAGGAGTGCGAGAGGCAGAGGGAGAGAGAATCTCAAGCAGACACTGTGTTGAGCACAAAGCCTGACACGGCAGGGCTCTATCTCATGACCCTGAGATCATAACCTGACCCGAAACCAAGAGTTGGCAGCTTAATTGACTTAATTGAACCTAAGTCTTTTAAAACTTATATTTTTATATTTGTTTTATATTCTACATAATGTATATAAGTAGAAGCCTATAATTTATAAATTCATATCAGAAGGCTTTTACAGGTTTTTTTTTTTTTTTTTTTTTAGCTGTTACACATAATCTAAAGTTTGGGAAACCACTGATCTCTAGACCATTCTTCTTTTTATAGTTAGGAATATCTACCAAGAGTTGACAGATTTGCAAAGCTGAGACTGAGCAGGATGAAACAACTAGTTCAGGGTTTAGCCCAGAGGTCAGAAGAGCTTAATCCATTTCTTTCTCTTTCTGCATTTGCTTGAGCAGGTGGCCGTCGGTTAAATTGGGACATCAGAACAGAAATATGCGCCTTAAACATTGAGTTTATAAATATGTTCATCTACAGCTTTTTAAAATACAAGACAAGGGCTTTTTTTTTCCTTTTAATATGAGCCACAGGTTGGAAGTTTCACATAATGTATACCTGAAAGGTTTTGTTTACAGTTTTCAGTTACTGAAAAAATAGTTTCAGAGGAGTCTGAGTGCAAAATCTTTCTCGGTTTTTTAAGATTTTTTCCACCTCAGTCTGTATATTTAAGTCATCTGTTAGCATAATATTGAGTTAAAGTATATTTAGAACAGTAAATACAAGTGAGATGAGCACATTTGAGGCCAAACACAGTTGACACTTAGTGAATATACTGAACATAGAGTTTACCTGATAGGAGCAGACTAGGAGAGTAGTCCCAAGGAGCAGCGGTTAGCGTATGGGGGACGTCCATCAGGATGGCAGGTGGGGCGGTTGATTGCTCAAGTCAGGAATGAGAGAGTATGTGTTCTGCAGAGTTGGTTAAATAGTGGTTGCTGAAGAGCGTTTCTGTTCTACCTTACCCTGCCCACTTCTCCAGCTCTCAGATACCTACAGTTATATAATATATATGTTGAAGTGCTCCCTCACCCTGTGGATTTATAAATCACATATCTAAGTTCTTCAGGGTGTGAATTCTTTGCCCTTTATTTGGCTTTGAATAGGTCTGTTTTTATTTTGAGTTAATATTTTTTTAATTATTTTTTTGAGTTAATATTTTAAAGTTTTCACATATTCTCAGGCTTGCAGAAAAGTTTCAAGTGTAGAACATAGAGCTTTCCTCTCCCCCACTTAACTATTTGAGAGCCACTGACCTGATGCCCCTCCCTGAGCACTTGTGTATTTCCCAAAGACAAGGACATTCTTCTACATAATTATAATTCAACAATCAAAAAGAAAATGAGAAAATTGATATTCTGCATTACTTAATCTTCAAACCCCATTCGAGTTTTGCTAAATGTTTCAGTATTACCCTTTTATCTATATAATTTTTAAAATTTATTTTTAGTTTTTATTTTCATACATTAAAATAACTTTCTGAGCAGGAGATATAACCAACTCTGCCTTAACTTCATACATTTTAAATTCTTGGTTTATTCCTTTAGTGCCTTGGTCAATGGGCTCTTTTTAGATAGACAGTCTCAGGTACAGGAAAATTTTTTCCATTGAAGTCCTTTAGAGTAGAATATAAAAGAATTTTCACTAGCTTTGTTAAATCAGGTATTGTCTGTTATGTTTCAGGCTCATAGCCACAGAATCATGGTGATGTGCCCTTAAATATCTTTTTTTTTTTAAAGATCTATTTATTTATTTGAGAGAGAGAATGAATCCCAAGCAGACTCCCTGCTGATAGGAGCCCCATCCAGGGCTCAGTTCCACAACTCTGTGATTATGACCTGAGCCAAAATCAAGAGTTGGCCACTTAACTGACTGAACCACCCAGATGCCCCTGTGTCCTTAAATATCTTAAGTGTTTTCTTTCTTGGTATTAGAAACCTCATCCAATGTTTTATAGTATTAATATCAAGACTGAGTTTAGACCAACATGTAAATAAGGAAAACGCAAAATCATATAAAACTTATATTTAGGTTTTACATAAATTAATATTTTCTCTTACCTATGGAGATAAGAGAATGGTTATAGGGATAAGGTAAAGGAAGGGCATTTCCTAAGACAATTCTTCATTTTATCGTCATTATTTATTTACAAAGGAGTTTAGAGTAAGATTTGGGTTTAGACTCTTTTGTTTCTTTGTCCTGTGAGCAATAGATCCAAGAAGCAGTGAGCCAGTGAGTATCACACAGTTTGGGGGCATAGCTGTCATTGTATCTGAGATGAAACTTATGTATCCCTGGTATTCTTCACCTATTGATGGTTCCAGATGGAGAGCTTTTGGGGTGGGGATTTGAGTCTACTGAGAGTCACGATACTCAGTCTTGGTTGTTTATATTTTCTAGGGCTTTAGAAGCTTAGGAATTGGCCCGGGAAGTTCCTAGACAAGTGGCTTCTCACAGCAGCGGCCAGTGGGGTACCTTGATTGGTTTCACACTAGGCTTCACGAGGAGGCTGGGCCTTTGGCATTCCTGCCATGTGAGTTGTCCACTGGTCCTCTCATCATCAAACCCTCAGTGCCTGCTACGTGACAGCCACCGTGCTAGGCACATATAAAGATGACCAACACCTAAGGCCCTCTCGCTGAGAGGCTACAGTCTTGGAAGGGGAAGCAAGAAAATACTGTTGTAGGCACCATGACAGAGTTATGTATGTGAAGGATTCACTGTGGGTCCAGATCTTAACAACGGGCTTCAGAGAAGACATTGTGAAGTCTGAGTATTTATAAAAATGTAGAGCGGGGGTGATCTGGGGGGGCGGGGGCGGGGTAGGAGCAGGAGGGCATCTGAATAGTGACAGATAGTTCTTTGAAAAAGTAGGATGTGCTGGTAGTCTAGCTTGATGGGTATCGCCCATTAATCACTAGTATTGACTTGGCTGTGCAGCCAGTGGGTTTCCTCTCTTTGTTCCCTGTGTTGTATGCATTCTTAGTCCAAGCACACTTCCCGGGGAAGCTGTGCTTTCTGTTGGGGTGGGCGGGGGGAGAGAGACAGAGAAAGAGAGAGAAAGCAGTTATCTCTAGGAGCAGTGAGTAAGGAGGAGAGCTGAACTGGGAGCTGGACAAAATCCGGGCTGTGGCCCCCGTCCTTCCACAAATTAGCCCTATGACCGTGGGCAAGGCACTTAACTTTATGAGGCAGTTTCTCCAAGTGTGAAGTGAGAGTAATGATTCTTGGCTGCCCCATGGGTTTGGGGGTGGGGTGGGGTCAGATGAGACAGTGCGTGGTGTGTTATGGTTTACAGAGTGCTCTCCTGTGTGAACAGTCTTTCCTTTGTTCTTTACAGTTTTTAAATTAATTTTCTCCTCTAAAGTGCGTTTAGGTGTGTGTAATTTGATGTACACAACATATGTAAAACCAGGCAGCTAGCTAATTAGGAACCGAATTGTACAGATTCCTTTCTCACTGTCCTGCAGTCAAGCTGTATCAGTAACTTTTCCATTGAAAGGACATAATTAATACTTAAAAAAAAAAAAAAACCTCCTTTGTAGGATCTAGTTTCTATTTCCCATTTAGAAAAATTATTCATGTGACTTCTTAAAGACATGTTCTTGAGTTTACCTTCAGTTGAACTATGAGTTATGTATTTTTCAACTTTTGTCTTCCATAGGATCTTTAATGACTTGCTGCTGTGGGAACCAACAGCTCCTTCACCAGTGGAGACATTTGAAAATATTTCCTATGGTATTGGTCTTTCTGTAGCCAGTCAGCTGATTAATACCTTCAACAAAGATAGTTTTAGTCCATTTAAATCCACAGCTCACTACGGTAATATATTTTAAATTTGTTCTAACTTAAAATGCCAGGTTTAGCAGTAAAGTAGTAACCTTTTCAATTGATAGATTTTAAAATGTTTCTTGGCTATTTTCCCCTTGTAACTAACTATATTTTATAATATAGTGATTTATAGTATTTCTCCACTTCTATCTACATATTGAGAATATTATCAATTAAATATATTATCTTTATAGTGATAGTATGTACATTGTTTTAAGTTCAGTGGGAAAGAGAAAAATACAGAAAGTATATTTTTATTGTCATGCCAGATTCTTGATAAAAAAAACGGGTTGCAAAATAAGTATTTTTTATGATAATATTCCAGTTGCTATTCTATTTCCGTAGCTGTCCAAACCATATCACTATGACATTTATTTCTCACAGATGAGGAGAGTGGATCTGAGGAGGAGACATTGCAGTATTTTTCTACTGTTGATCCCAACTATCGTTCCCGTAGGAAAAAAAAACTAGACTCTCAGAACAAGAACTCGCAGAGTTTTCTCTCAGTTCTTCTGAGTATTAACCATGGACTAATGGCAGTGTTTACAGATGTCAGGGTAAGGATTTGCAAAGCCAAAGTGTTTCAGGTATATCTTATTTTAAATGTACCGTGATTACACCTGCCGTCATTGAGGTGGCGGGAGGGTGTTTCAGTGCCTGAGAAAGGTTCCGCAGTGACAGCGGCTTTGGAGAGGAAGCATTTCACTGCGGATCACAAGACAGACCTTGTGTGGACCTTCTTTTGGCAAATGTGCTGGTTCTGCTGCTGAGGTGATCACTAGTAATTTACCTGTTAGAGAGGAGGGTGAAGTACAGGGATTCATTCTGCAGAGAGGACCCTGCATAGCATTTCATGCAACCATGTTGCGTGGTTTGAGAATCAGACTGCTTTGCTGCCATGTGGGAGAATCTTCTAGGCTGAATCAGGAAGGAGCAACCCAAGGGGCATTCTGACTTTTCTGCATTTAAATAACGACTTCTATGTTTTTCTGACCTTTTTATTAGCAAGATAATGGAGAGCTGTTGGAAAATAAACATGGCGAATTCTGGTTAGAGTTCAGCAGTGGTTCGTTGTTTTGTGTGACCAAGTATGAAGGCTGTGATGACAAGCACTACATCTGCCTTCATTCCAGTAGTCTGAGTCTGTACCACAAAGGTAGGACACATGTTGAATGTGTGTTCTGTTCACCTCTGTTCAGACCCATTGAAATTTTGTTTAATAAAGTTTTTTTTAAAGATTTATTTGGGAGAGAGTTCGCAACAGGTGGGGGAGGGGGAGAGGGAGAAGCACACTCCCCGCTGAGCAGGGAGCCTGACGTGGGGCTCCATCCCAGGACCCTGGAATCATGACCTGAGCTGAAGGCAGACATTTAACCGACTGAGCCACCCAAGTGCCCCCTAATAAGGAAAATCTATTGAGAACAGAACTCTCATATTAGAAATTATTTTCTCTGGGGTGTTCTGATTCCACTGGCAGAGTAATACTTATGTTGACTTTATGGTTTTTCTGGGCAACAACTTTATTGAGGTGCAGTAGTTCATGTACCATACAATTCACCCATTTAAACTGTCCATTTCAGTGGTTTTCAGTATTTCCCAGAGTTGTTGTAACCAGCATCACAATCAACTTTAGAACCTTTCCATCATCCCCAAAAGAGGCTGTGCACCCTTCAGTTGTAACCTCCCATGGCCCTCCCACCCCCCACCCCCACCCCCCAGCACTAAATAACCTCTAATCTACTTTGCCTCTGTGGGTTGTGTATTCTGGATGTTATGGAATGATATAACATATAGTCTTTTGTGACTGGCGTCTTTAATTTGGCATGATGTTTTCAAGGTTCATCCGAGTGTATTAATATTTTATTCCTTTTATTGACAAATATTCCATTTTATGGATGTGCTGTATCTTACTATCCACTGACGAGTTGATGGGACTTTACATTCATTACTCTCTCTTAAGCAGCATTTCCTTTTGGTAACAAAAGGAATTTACCATCTTTTGAGTACATTCCCTGTTACCCTGTGAATAGAAGATACTCACACATTCCTTTTTTCCCCCCAAAGTGTAGAAAACAATACTTTGCACAGTCTTAATGCTTATCAGCTTTTTCTATTTAATTTTCCTAGCATTTCTTCTTAATTTTTCTTTTTTTTAAAGTAGGGTACTATCAGTCATACCACCATTAGCAGAGAGGTATGGATTATTAATGCCAAGCTGGTTCTTGGTCATTTTGCCTCCAGGATTATAGTATATTCAGTGGAAGCATAGGGATTTTTGTTTTGAGTTGTGAAAGTCTGTGAACTAATTTCAGGTTATCATTTTGTTGCATTGTCGCTTCATTGTCGATGTAGGCGTAGTAGATGGAGTGATTCTTCCTACGGAAACACGACTGCCCAGTTCAACCCGCCCACACTGGTTGGAACCTACTATTTATTCCTCTGAAGAAGATGGCCTCAGTAGAGCTTCTTCAGATGGTGTTGCAGGAGACACTTTGAATATGCTCTCTGTTGCAGTTAAAATACTATCTGATAAATCAGAGTCCAATACAAAGGTTTGTGTTTTGTACTTTTATACCATTGAAGACTTGCCGTTCATTTGATTACTAGCTAAAAGTGATTGCATAAAAGCAACACATTTATTTTCTTAGAAAAACTTTCTAAGTTTTGAATTAGAGGGTTATGTAGGTGATCAGTGTAATTTTTTGTGTCATCTGTACAGGAATTTCTCATTGCTGTGGGGTTGAAAGGAGCCACACTCCAGCACAGAATGCTTCCTTCTGGGCTTAGCTGGCACGAGCAGGTACGAGTTGTTATGTACATATTGATTTACTTTTTACTTTATATTGACATGTAATATACAGACTGTAAAGTCACAAATTGGAAATGATCAGTGTGCTTAGAAATATCGTTGAAGTAAATACTCCTATATAACCACCTCTTAGGTTAGGAAATAGAACATTATCACCACTCCAGAACGAAATTGATTTTTTACCTTAAAGTTTTGACCCTAAACATCTCAAAGACAGAGTTATCTTTTAAGTCATTTAAGGGAAGGCACTCTGTGTCCCAGAACCTGTAGAGCACCAGGCATAGAGGAGCAGCAAATGATGTATTGACTTGTGCTCACTCCGTACGTGCCATAATTTCACGGTTATTCCCTAGGCCAATGACATGCTTTGAGGCATTTCTGTAATTAATCTCCAGTGTTTGATTAATGAAATACAGTTGGTTCTTTTCTATTGAGAATGAAAATTAGTACACTGTGACTCTTGTTCATTTTCCTTAGAGGAACTTTTTCTTTGTGCTGGAAAATAATAAAATATTTTATACCTGAAAGTTTTCAGAGTGCTTTCATAAAAGCATTTAGGAAACCTGAGACTTAGATCTGTGTAGCAAGGGTAGAGAGATGGTTGGTGTGAACACTGAACTCAGTTGTAAGGGGGAGGTTTAATCTAACCTCATTTAGATAGAAATACAGGAGAATGGATGTTAGAGGATCTGGTTTTCAGACTGAGCTAGGTATAATTTAAGGAAAAATAACTTTTCCCAAAAGTGGATTACATAGAAAACCAGATGGAGTGTTAAGTAATCTTTAGCAAAGTTTATTTTTTTCAAGAATTGTCCCAAGCAAAATAATATGCAAGCATGTTATACGTACTTTAGTTTGTATAATGATTTTGATATGAATCATATCTTTGAGAAGATACGATTTTCTCAAGACTTCTGTAGCATTGCAGTTGTCAGATGGGACTCTCTTCATTTCAAACTTGAGTGGTTTTGCAAATACGTTTTAAAATGAATTAGTTCAAAATGATGATTTTTTTTTTCCTTTTGGCATTGATTCCCCACCCACACCCCCAATAAATGGTTGCTTTTTCTGTGAGATATTTTACATTGGTACTAAAGATATCCTGGTCACAAGTACTTTTTTTTTCTTCTAAAGCAGGGCATTTTATATTTTTGTGATTACAGATTTTATACTTCTTGAATATTGCTGATGAACCTGTTCTGGGATATAATCCTCCAACTTCATTTACAACTTTTCACGTTCACCTCTGGAGCTGTGCACTTGATTATAGGTCAGTTCACAAGTTGGACAAAATAAAGCTTTATTCAAAATGTGTACTGTTTTGAAAAAATGCATAATTCAAATTGTAGAGTTAAGGTTCAAAATGCTCTTTTAAGGGAGTTTCTGTTGTTTTAGCAGACTGATGTTGTTTGTTTCTTTTTGGTATTAGGCCTCTTTATTTGCCGATCCGATCTCTTCTCACTGTGGAAACCTTCAGCATTTCGAGTAGTGTGGCCTTGGACAAATCCTCATCTACTCTCAGGTGCCTGGGTAAACTTAACTATCTGCTAAATGCAGCTGTTTCAAACATGCTAACTGAACTGTTGTTCACCTGAAGTCTTTGAAGTCCCAACCTTTTGTTAAAAATTAGCATTCTTTTACTTGTAGTCATGTCCCTTTATCCAGGTTTTCAATTTTTCATTTTCAAATGATTTGTCCCATCTCTTCTATTTATCACTGTTTTTTATTTTTAGAGAGGAAATGAATTCCTGAGATTGATAGTTTACTTTTAAAAACAGAAATCTAAATTTCCTTCCTATACTACCTGATAACACTTTATTTTCATAATTTAGATAATTTAGATCTATTAAAAAATGCTGAAAATTTAAATTAATTTGAGCTGATGATTCAGGCTCAATTCTTTACACCATTTAAATATTTCTAGCACTCAAACTGAGTTTTAAGGAAATGTTAGATGCCACTTGTAAGAAACTACATATGACTTTGATAACTTGTATATCAGAAGAATGATACAGTGAAGTATGTCATGATCACGTGTCATATATTCAAAGTTAATTTTTCGATGTTGATTTTATATTGTTTCCTCAGAATAATCTTGGATGAAGCTGCTTTGCATTTGTCTGACAAGTGTAATACTGTTACTATAAATTTGAGTAGAGGTAAGAGTTGAAAAACAAAATCTGAGATACATGAATGTTCTTTAGTTTTTGTATGAATATTTTAGAGCATTTGAACTCTGGAATAGTGCTATTGAACTAAGGATTTTATTAAATACCAGTTTGAAGTTGTAATGTCCTTAGAACATCAGTTAAGTGCATCAAATTATATGTACTCTATTTAATATAAGATTAATTTTGTTCCTAAGTAAAATGGAATTGTAGGACTTTTATAGGATGAAACTATATTTCCATTCCATTCTAAATATTTGTACCACTAACTGCCATGAATTTTAAAGAGATGCTAGTTTTATTACGTTGTTGGTTGGATATGTAGTTTTTGAAAGCTTTACTCAGATATTTTGTCAATTTAAAAAATTTTAGATTATGTTCGTGTGATGGATATGGGGCTTTTGGAATTAACCATAACTGCAGTGAAATCTGATTCTGATGGAGAGCAAGTAAGTTATTAAAATAAATGGAAATTTTTACTTCTATTTTTTTTTTTTAAGATTTTATTTATTTATTTGACAGAGAGAGATGGCAAGAGAGGAACACAAGCAGGGGGAGTGGGAGAGGGAGAAGCAGGCTTCCTGCTGAGCAGGGAGCCCGATGTGGGGCTCGATCCCAAATCATGACCTGAGCCGAAGGCAGACGCCCAATGACTGAGCCACTCAGGTGCCCTTGACCCCTCTTTTTTTATAAGAGAGACCAAAGAATAATTGAATTTATTATAAAATTATTTTGGTCAAAAGTAGATAAAATATTTTAAAATTAGGATATAATTATAAATATACATTTCCTGTGGCAAGTAAAATTCTGTTCTGTTTTATTTAATGTAAGCCTATGCAAAACAAGAAATTTTTAGCTCTTGTTTGAAAAACCTGTTCATTTCTTTTCCCTTGTGTCCATCCAGACTGAGCCGCGCTTCGAGCTACACTGTTCCAGTGACATTGTCCATATCAGAACGTGCTCGGACTCTTGTGCTGCTTTAATGAATCTCATTCAGTACATTGCAAGCTACGGGGACTTACATGCAGCAAACAAGGTGGAGATGAAGCCTGGAGCCCCTCACAGAAAGATGAAGGTATAGCCAGCAACATCTTTTATTAGAACTAACTCACCCCGGACACCTTTCAGCCACGGGCGTGATGTGTGTGCGTCAGTGAGGTCTTCATGACAGTCATGAGGTAGAAAAGAAACTTTGAAAAATCACCTGTTCTTTACCTTCAGAGTGATGCGTCTGGAAAGGTGATTCCATAGGCCTTTTTGGAAAACCATTCTGTTTGGTGTTCTTTGTTTCAGAACATTAATCTTCTCGGCCAACAGAATACTTTCTTCCAGACTTGAGTTATTTTCATCTCCCCCCCAGGAAGAAAGAAAACATTTAGCATTGTAAGAGCTTGTTCTGTGCCAGTTGTACGTATAAATGCTTAGGAGAGGAGATACCAGTGTTAGTATTATTACCAGAAGACTTAGGTTGTCTTTTGTTTGTTACATATGATTCTGTTGGGTTTTCAGTATATTTTCTCGTTTGTGATTTCTTTGAATTCAGTGTGATAGGTTAAAGATTATCATCTCCATTTTATAGATGAGTAAGTTAAAACCCAGAGAATTAGGCTATTTGCCCAAATTAATAGAATTAGCAACAAAACCAGATACTTTGATTTCTGGGTCGCCGCTTTCTTATGCCCCCAACTGTCACCTCTCTGTCCTCTCTTATGTACAGATTGAACAATGTCTGGTTTGTTTAGCATTTTTAACTTTTTAGTGCTTTTTCATCCTTTATCGTGGCCTGCTCTGTGAACAGGATTCTCAGTCTCTTAGATAATGGAGCCCCTAGTGAAAGTCCTTATCTTGTTCAGATGCTCTTACACTTCGTGTTATGCTTTGGGTTTTGACTCCTTGCTTTTGCTGTCTTCTCACTGATAAGAAGGCAATTCATGACCCTCCCTCTCCACTGTTTATGTTCTTTGTAAAAACATTCTCCAGTTTATTAAAAGTTACTTTAAATTATCCCTTTCAAATTAGATCTTTCCATTTTAGAGTCATACTCCCATTTAAAAAGCATGGTCTGGATTTAATGAACCCACAGTTCACTAACCAAAATGGTTAAGCATCAGCGCTGGAGTTGAACCCTGTGAGTCCCCACTTAGTAGATTTCCCCTGCCCTGTGTGCCCCGTACTATCTTTCGGTGTCCGTCCATTTCAGGACACGAGACTCTGACCCCCAGTGGCTTTGTGTCCATGGGATGAGAGTTGGTGCAGCTGCTAGATTTGAGCAGCTCCCGCTCCGCAGGAGAGCGCTTCTCCCCAGGCCTCACTGCAGTGTTCTTAGCTTCTGTCTCCTCTAGTGTGCGCGCTCTCCACCATCCCAGCTCATGGTGCTGGCTTTGAGGTGATGGCACATTTATTTCTGTTGGCCAGTAGTCATTGGGGTGATGATGATGCTAACAGCCTAGAAGGCTGCAGCTGCCGGGCAGAAGGTAGAACGATGGCTGCGTTCCTGTTTCTGGTGTCTTTGTAAAATGCCACGTGTTTCTAGGACAACCTCATGCTGAGTAGTTTGCTTCTTACAGCATTTTCAGTTATTTTTAATTAGGTGTTTTGGCTGTAGGTAGATTCCAGCGGTCGCTCATCCTCACAAGGTCCAGTACTTCCTGAAGCAGACCAGCAGATGTTACGCGATCTGATGAGTGACGCTATGGAGGAGGTTGACCTGCAGCAGGCTGCCGCGTCCGCACAGGCCCAGGCCAACGGTAGGATGGGCCAGGCCTTCCTCCCCAAGAGCACTGGGGCCTCACTTGAGGTTTATGTTCTTTGTACGCTTACAAATTCTGCAGTGAGTAACTTAATAAAAAGACAAGTCTGAGTTTTGGTGGATATTTATTAGTCAATCTGCTTGTGTTGATTGAGCGTCTAGTAGATAAATAACCACTGGCCAGGGTGTTGTGGGGGTTACAGATGAAATGAAAGACAAAGCTTATCTTTTCTGTTAGCTTAGAGTTTCATAACACAGATCGGCACTAAGCCAGACTGATGTTCTTACTTAGAGTGATTGTGAAATGACATGAGAAAGCGCTTCAGAGTGTGTCACATCCTTAACTACTGGTTGGAAGGGATTGGAATTGTCAGTGAAAGTGAGAGGAGTTGGCTTAATTTAATTTTTAAAGATTTTATTTATTTATTTGACAGAGACAGCGAGAGCAGGAACACAAGCAGGGGGAGTGGGAGAGGGAGACGCAGGCTTCCCGCCGAGCAGGGAGCCCGATGCAGGACTCAATCCCAGGACCCTGGGATCATGACCTGAGCCTAAGGCAGACGCTTAATGACTGAGCCACCCAGGCGCCCAAGTTGGCTTAATTTTAAAGAGTGGCTGGGGTTTAGGTATATGGAGAGGAGAGAGAAGGTAGTCTTGGCAAGGTCATGAATGTTGATAGAGGCGCAGAAGCATGCAGAAGCCTTAATTATCTTGCAGCTCAAGCTCTTACTGGAACAGAAGCTCCCTTCTCATTGGAAAGAATTGGCCAGCAAAGTTGGATAAGCAGGGAGGAACCAGCCAGTGGGAGAGCCTTGAAAGCCAGCTGGGAGCATCTAAATACTTTGAAGCATCTATCTAAAAAATATTTTTTTCTAATCGAATAAACATAGTCATTTCTGTATGTTCTGAAATCTTAATTTTTGAAAAATTATTTCATGGTATTATCAAAGTTTAGGGTTAAATTGTTTTATTCTAATTTAGCATAAATTAGAACTCAGGAAACAAATAGGAACTTTTAGCTTCCTACATATTACATTATCTGTAATATTAGCAGCTAACCCACTTAGGTGGGAAAGAATGTTTCATGAATATTTACTGAGCAGCTTCAATATTCAGGTGCACCAGGCACTTATAAAGGATGAGTAAGTCCAAGGTGCTGCCATGGAAGAATTTAAAATCTGGTCCGTGAGCCTCTTGAGCCTCTTGAGGCTAAAATGTCACATTATTCATCTTCACGTTCTCAGTCCTTATCACAGTGATTGGAATGACTGACAGAATGGAAAAAGAATTAGTGGATCTACTATGTATTAAAAATGCATAAAGATGTATGTTCACAATACAAATTTTGTCATGCATGCAGTCATGAACCACATTGACAGCTACCTGAGAACAGGTAGCCCGTTTGGGTATCCAGCGCCCCACAAAGTAGTCTGTTGATTGTAGGGCACCACTCCCTGGCCAGAGACCTGCTTGGCCTCTGTTTCCGCCCCCCCCCCTCTATAAGCAGAGATTTCCTGTAGTTTTAGGGGAGGCACTGCCAGATGTTACCAGTTGTTCCTACCCTTACAGTATTGCTCTGGAAGTTTCCAGATCTCCACCCACAGGACAGAGTTGTCAGAATGCAGTTCTGGCTTAAACAAAACTCCAGTCAACACTAACCCCCTGCTGCCAAATTTCTGAACTTCTCTAATGCGAAACAACTAAGAGGAGACTCACTATGACTTTTGAGACCATCATTTATATCAGTCTTTTTATTAGTAATTGGAGGGTTGTAAGAAATAAATGAGATATTGCAGGTGAAAACATTTCAATATAGTGTGTATCTGACATGTGGTTAAAATGTTTACTAAGCATTACTGTTCAAAATGTGCCAAAATTGAGTGTTGTATTCTTTTTTACCTAGGTGTTTTGGATGAAAAATCTCAAACTCAGGAGCCCTGTTGTTCAGACCTCTTCCTGTTTCCAGATGAGAGTGGGAACACGTCCCAGGAGCCTGGCCCTCCTTGCACCTCATTCACACACCACTTGATTAGTGATGCAATGGCAGGTGCGCCCACTGAGAATGACGACTTTTGCATTCTTTTTGCACCAAGAGCAAACATTCAGGTAATAAATGGATAATATAATTGAGGCCTTAAGGTAGTGTTACAGGTTGAATTGACCAAAGGGTACCTGAGAAACAGCCTTCAGATTTTTTTTTATAACTCTTGGCAGTTCACAGTGACTTCATTTTGTAATTTATTATTGAGGCTTTGCAAATGTTTACTGTACTTTATTACTTCTGTGACACATCGCTCTAAAACTCAGAAGAATGCTCAGTATTTGCAAAATTTAAAAAATAACTTTTTTAGATTTTATTTAAATTCAAGTTAGTTAACATATAGTGTATTATTAGTTTCAGGGCGAAATTCTCTACATAGATTATTAAACTACGGATGTTGTACATAGTTAGCTCTTCAGGGCAAGGAAATGGTGAAAGGAGTGCTATCTAGAGTTGCTAGTCCAAGAATTGGGAAAGGTAAGACATGGTTTGTGTGAAGGCTGATGATGGTTGATAAGTGTAATTGCCATGTGAGAATCATGCTTCCATTTAAAGAGCATGGTCTGGATGTAATGAATGCACAGTTCACTAGAATGGTTAAGCATTGGTGCTGGAATTGAACTTCATGAATCACCATTTAGCTTATATACATATTAAACTGCTCAGTAGTAACTTGGTGAATGTATTTGTTTTACTGCATCCTGGGAAATTAAAAAAAAATAAAAGCAGTCAAACTCAGGATAACTTCATTATTAGGATCATGGTAATTTGGTCATTATGTTGAAGTATGTTAAATTTGGAATGTAGTATTGACTTTGAATTAAATAACTATAAACAAACATATACACACCAGATACATACCCATATCAGCCCACACCCACTAAATCTGTGCCTTTTTATTATCAAATGGTAAAAGCTAGATTGAAGACTATGAAAGACTCCTTTGTGGAGTGATTTACATAGAACAGAAAGTCCATTTGTTGCTGAATAATGCAGAATATCCAGTGTGATGATTAATATCAGTACTTGCCCATTTCATATATCGATATTGCTATTAGAAAGAATGCAGAGTCAAGAAATCTTGAGATATGCAGAATAATCAGTGGTTTCTACTGAGACAAGACCGTGTGTGTTCCCTGTTTATTTTAGGAGAAGGAGGAAGAGCCAGTTGTAAAAGTGATGGTCGATGATGCAATCGTAATAAGGGAGAATTACTTTAGTCAACCCGCTAAGAAGACGGACACGGGCAAAGCTCCATTGCACTTTCCCATCCCTGTCGTTCGCTATGTCGTTAAAGAAGTCTCTCTTGTTTGGCATCTTTATGGAGGAAAGGATTTTGGAACAGTTCCTCCTACTTCTCCAGCTAAAAGTTACATGTAAGTTGATTTCTACATAAGTTGTTTTTTTGTTTTTGTTGTTGTTTTTTACAAGCCATTATTTTCTTTTCTTAGAAAATTTGTCATTTTTTAAAAGATTTTACTTATTTGAGAGAGAGACTGAGCACACGTGAGAGAGAGCATGAGCCAAGGTGAGGGACAGAGGGAGAAGCAGACTCCCCGCGGAGCAGGGAGCGTGATGTGGGGCTCCATCCCAGGACGCCGGGATCAGGACCTGAGCCGAGGACAGATGCTTAACCGACTGAACCACCCAGGCGCCCCAGAATTTGTCATTTTAAGAATTATTAATAAAGTAGTACTGAAAACTATATAATTTAAATGTTACTCTTTTAATGTTAAAACTTTTCATTTGTAAACTTAGTTGTATTGTATATATATTTACTGAAATATGGTGACTTAAGTGATTTCCATTCAGCAAAATATCTTGGGTACCTACCATGTGCCGGAGCCTGTGTTAGAGGCACATTCACTAAAATGAGTAAGACCCAGGGGCTCCTGGGTGGCTCAGTGGGTTAACTGTCTGCCTTCAGCTCAGATCATGGTCCCGGGTCCTGGGATCCAGCCCCCGCATCGGGCTCCCTGCTCAGCGAGGAGCCTGCTTCTGACTCTCCCTCTGCCCCTCCTCCTCCCAGCTCCTGTGCTCTCCTGGGCGCTCTCCTGGGCTCTCTCCTCCTCCCTGCCCCTGCACTCTCTCCTCCTCCCTGCCCCTGCGCTCTCTCCTCCTCCCTGCCCCTGCGCTCTCTCCTGCGCTCTCTCCT